AACAGCGTGGCCCTGGCGGACTTCGCGGAGCACGGCAGCGGCCTGGTGCTGTGTCGGCTCTGGCCGGACACCACCCAGGAGGGCTGGGGGCACAAAAATGGGCGGAAAACCAAGCCTTCGGCGCGGGAACGCTGTTCCAGAATTAGCTCCACTTTTTTTTTCTTGCTTTTTTCGGGGTCGTTTTGTTGTCCACTAACCAGGCAAAAAGGATATTTTTTTGCTGGGCTAGAAAACGGCTCTGGTTCGTTTGTCTTGGGGCCGAAGTCGATGGATTTTCACATGGTGTGGGATGTCCTGAGTGGAGGGAGTTGTGCCAGCTATGTTTTTTGGGTGGGCACTGGTGTACGTCGGAGCCAGGACGAGGAACACCACTGCAACCCACTAGTGACTGTGAGGGACTGTTGGCGACCATTAGGGGCCACTTGTGACCATGAAGGGTTATGATTTCCTACGGCAGCACGTAGCACATGATAAGTGCACCCGGTCGACTGCCTCGTGTCAGTAGGGTGTGCACACAGCAGTGCATGATAACACGCACGCTCGGTCGACAAGCCACATGTGAGAAGGGCCCTAGACACCGGCGTTTTGCAAGGAGCTTGGCTGACTATTGCCTGACACACCCTCTTTTCTACGTGTTTCGTGCTGCAAAATAGACGCCCAATGGCTCCAATCCTGGCGTTTCATGAGAAAGAGCAGCGTTGTCGACGTGAAGAAGACGCAGGGCCCGTGTCACAGGCCCGGAAGACGGCAGTGCTCCGGGTCTGAGCGGTTTGGCTTCTTTCTGCTTTGGCAGTTTGGGACCTGCCTGGCGGGCTTTTTCGTGCTTTTGCAGTTCTCTCAGCCAGGTGTCGGCTTTGCTTCCAGGGTTTCTGCCATCGCCGGCAGCCGCCCCCATGCGCTTTGAGGGCGGAACGGCCAGGATTGGCTGTTCAAAGGTAGGGCCTGAACAAGTCGCGCGTGCGCGTTTCAGCGATCCTGCTGCGCCAGTTGTGGTTCCTATCGTGGGATTTTTCGTATCCCAACTGGTGCGTTAAACTGTTTTTCCACAAAAAGCAACAACACGTCCAGCCAGCGACGCAGTGTTTCCCCCGCCTTGAAACTTTGACAGGAGCCGATCCAGGCTCAGCACGCGGCGAAACAGGCGTTGCTGCTCGGCTTAAGCCATGGTTTCAAGACCCCTGGTTTAAACAACATGCTTCTGGTTTCCTGTCAAAGGGGGCCATGATGTTGAAAGCCAGGGGGCGCGAGACTTTGTGCAACCACCGTGGCAAATTTGCAGTTCACAGCTTTGCCGCTTTGCTGCGAGTCGGGGGCCCCAATTGAACCGCGGCATTGCCACATCTAGCTCGCGCAATTTCCCCAAGCCCTGGATTTCCTGCACTTGTTGAAGGTGAACAAATACCCCAGGAGAAAACACACACACACACATATATATATATGTACACACACACACCTCTATTTGATGGGCTTGTTCTTCACATGAAGCGAAGCGCTTCGCCGTGTGGGTCTCAGGAAGTACCTGGGGGTGCGGTCAGCTCAGCACTTCGTCCTCTGCCACGCGGAGCTGCGCAAAAGCTGCGGCCGCTTCGACGTGGCCGAGGGCCCCCGCTCCGCGCCGGTCTGGGCCAAGCCGGTGATCGAGGCCGTGAGCCCCGAGTTCACCCCGGGGAAGCCGCCCGGAGCAGAAGGAAGACGTTGGAAGGAAGGAAACCTGGGGGCTGAAAATTGGCTTGGATCGTGAGACTTGAAAACTTTTTGGGAGACCAAGGTTTCGTTTTTTTCTTCTCCACCAAGGCCACAAACAAGTTAAAAACCTTTTGCGGAGGGGTCGACAGAAACCCTTGAAACCAGCCCTAAGGGTGCCCTGAAAAAACACACCACAAGGTGGGTCTGATGAAAACAAGGAAGTCCCGGTGGGAATTTATGTTCAACCACTTGTGAGGGAGTCCCCAATTGAACCAGGTGCCACTAAATAGGAAGGCAGGAAAAAGGTGGGAAGCTGGATTGCAAGAAACTTTGGAGCCTTTTTCCATCGTCAGGACTGGCCCTTCGTGGTCGAGAAACCGCAGGAAGTGAGTTGATAAGCGACCCCAATCGATTGGGCAGGGTTCAGACCGCTGTGGTTGATTTCAATTGGGGCGTGCCCCATCCAGATCGCTTTTGGAGCGGCGCCGTTGCATAGGAACGGAGTTGTTTGCCCGGCTTCCTGGATGGGAAGTTAACAGTAGCGACGCTCCGAATGGTGTTCGTTTTCAGTTTGGTTTCTTCGTCACGCTGTGTTCGGATGCGATAGGACACCCTTGGCAAGGAGAATGTGCCCACGTGCAGCCTTTAGACAGTTTTGGGACGTGTCAAAACAGTTCATTCCGGGTGTGCTGTTGATCCTCTGGTTGGTTCAGGGGGAAACCAGCGGGAAAAAAACACAGGAAGCCCCCTGCTTGGACACACGCACACACACACACACAATCTTTGGTACATGTTCTCTCCCTCACTTTGCACCTTTTGGTGCTTTTTTTGGGGAACATTTGTGTGACACCAATTGAAAGTCGCAGACCTGAAGCACTCCCCAGAAAGCCGTGTGAGGTTGCGCCAGCCAAAGGGGGGAGAGCAGGAGCATGAGAATCGGTGGAGTTTCCTCGACTGAAAGATGGAAAGTAGGCTGGCGCTGGGTGTAGTTTTCAGCGTTAGCTCGCTAGTGAAGTCTTCACACAAAAGAACGCGCACGCCCCTCTTGAGTCATCGCCTGGTGACACGAATGCAGAAACCCGGCACCGTGCGCGCACGAAGCTCAGGGAACATCCCCCCCCCCCCCCGGCGCCCCCTCTGACGTCCGTGTTTCGGAAGCTCAGGAAGGCCTACGAGCAGCCCATGCGCATCATGTTCGGCGTCGGGGCCCCCAGCAGGTCCAGTTTGTCGCCCAGGACGGGCAGCATTCGGTGCATGTCCGCCAGTCTGGGCGTGCTTATTTTTAATTGTACCTCTGTACCTCTTGGGGTTTTGGGTCCCCCTACAAACCCAAATCCAAACCACCGTGAAACCTTCGAAGCCGGTAGTTGGTGTGATTCGAAGGCGGATTCGGGATTTGACCAGGACCAGCCCCAAGCAGTTTAACCCTCTGCCCCCTACAAATCAACCTGATCAACATGGAGGGGAGCAGAGGCCCCAACCACCCAACCCTCTACCCCCTACAAATCAACATAAAGAAGAGCCAAAAAAAAAGAGGAACACCCAGCTCATGACATGAGTCTCGCCCCGCGAGCGGCGCGCGGCTCAACGCCAGCGCCTCGGCCTCGGAGCTCGCGGAGCGGCCAGGATGGACCGGTTCCGGGAGTCCCGGGTCTCGGGCAGGGAGGCCAACGCCATCTTGCAGTCCGCCTTCCCTGCGGCCTACGAGTGGCTGCAGAGACCCGTCCGGCCGTCAGCCGTGGTCGTTTCCCTGTTCGTTTCCAGGGTGCTTCTGCTCTTTGGCGGGTGTTTTTGTGGGTCTGTGTTTTTGCTTTCATGAAAACCATGTCATGACTAGTTTGAGGTGTCTTTCCTGTTATTCTTTCTTTTCACTCCTTTCAGGAGTTTTTCCTTTTATGCTTTTCGTGACATTCAAGCCACGTAATGGGTTTGTCACTCTTGATTTGGGGGTACCCTTTTTTGGGGCTGCTTTACCAGGAAATTAAGAGGAGGCCGACCTTTTTGCGGGGTGCCCCCCGTTCTGAGACACACCCACATTATACATACATCATTTTCATACATATGTTATAGCTATACTAATGCCAATGAATATTCACCACAGACGGGATATCCATGCATGCTTCTCCTGCTTTTTCCGGCTTTTCCGGAGCGCCATTTTTTTTCGCGCCAAGCGCCCGCCCCCAGCCGGCTCCACGGCTGAGGAAGCGCTGGCTCGGCCCCGACGCGGTCACCGGCGGGGCGGTGCTGCGGCGGAAGCTGCCGCAGGACAAGCGGCGACAGGAGCTGGAGCCATGGCGAACGAAACGAATCAACCGCTGCCCGCGGCGGCGGCTTCTTTTTGTTTTTGGGGGTTTTAGGCTGTTTTTTGGGCGGTGTTTGGCAAAGGGAGTTTTCGTTTCCGGCCCCGGCGTTTCCTCCGTTTCCAGAACCGGCAATCCCCAAAATGAGAAGTGTCCGCAAGCTTTGAGCTTGGGGGTTTCCTAGCTTGGTGGCTTAAGTTGGTTTAGTGGGTGGGTTTGCGAATTTCAACTTTTTGCAGGGGATCTGGGCGGACGGTGGAATCATTCATATGAGCTGGAAAAAACAAACAAAAGCATCCGCAAAGTATGAGTTTGACAGGTCAATGTTTGGTTCCGCCCCACGCTTACCGCAGACCACTTCCTAAGTATCATGCTCATACGTGTCCTTTATGGCTGATGTGATGGAGAATAGATGGCCCTGGCTGACCTTGTTTCATGGTCAGCCAGTGCCATCTATTTTCCAAAGGGAACAGGTCCTTAAAGACAATTTTCCTTTCAAGGGAACCCTCTATGTTCCATGTTAGACAGGAGGGCATCCTTATGGCATTTTGAAGGGGAGTCGGTGCAAGGGGGGGTGGGTAGCCCTCAAACTAACATGGAAGCTCCCAGAAAGCCTCTGTAAATGGAACCAAGTCTACATCTCGGCATGGAATCGTCTGGTGGAGGGTATCCCGCCACTCTCGGGGTTTCCCCATCCGTTTCAACCATCGTTCTTTTCGAAAACCAGATTCGTTTTTTCGGGGGTCTGGAGGTTTTCTAGAAAGAAGGATCCCTGGAAAGAATGGGGGAGGTGCCCCTAGAATAGTCAGCCAATTTTCCTTTCAACGGGGGCCACTGGTGCGCCCCGTACATGGAACCAAGTCTGCTAAAAGGGGTCCATCTTCCATGTTAATTTGGGGGAAGGTATCCTGCCGCAGAATAAGTGGACCTCCGGTTTTGGCCGCCGCCAAGGAGCTGGAGGCGCGGCGGATGCGCAGCGACGGCGCTGCAGATCGCTGAGATGGCTGAGATCCGAAAGTCTGCTGCGGGGGACGGGGGCGGGGCGGCGCCTGACCCAAAAGGATGGGTACATGGGTGAGGGTACCCCAGTTTTTTTGGTTTTGAAGGGAAACCAAAGGGAATTTTGGGGGTCCCTTAAAAATCAATACACCCACAAGGATCTCGCAAATTCAAAATTCAAACGACCGATTCGGGGGGTAGGCGTGAAAGCTTCTGAAGGTGCCTTACATGGGGATTTTTCTTGAAGCGCCCTGAAAATCAGCGAGCTCACTTGGTAAGATGGTTCCCCGCTATTTCGTTTTTGAAGGGGGGGGCTCTGTAAAGTAGCCTACCCTCGATCTTCCAAGGTTTCCCAAAACACATTTCAATCCAAACATGGCTTGCTAGTTGAGGCTCTTTTTGGAAGACCAGCAGCCGTTTAAGGAACAACCCTGTGGTGAAAATGCATGGTTCCTGCGCATTTCACCGAGGCATCCCCAAGAAGGGCTGGAAATACGGCATCCCCCCAGGAAAGCGGCTCGAGGCAACCAAACGCCTGCCTGAGAACTCCATCTTGAGGTGTGGAAAACTCCAAGGCCGGAGTGAGAACTCCAAGGCCGGACAAGATCCAAGGTCACGCCCAAGCAATATGAACTCCAAGTGCAAATCTCCCAGCTGGGATCTTGGCAAGTGGCAACCCAGGCGACCTCCGGACCTCCGGACCTCCGGACCACCGGGAGACGCCTTGGAATCTGCCGCATTCCGGACAACGCCTCGGTTCAGGAAGCCAGAGTTGCTGACATTTTGGGCCAGGAGATGAAGCAGGAGGAAAAAACACCTATCTCGAAGATGTCAGAGAGGCATCCTTCGTTGTCACGCAAAGCGCGCATCGCTTGGCGCATTTGAGCCTCGAACCCCGCAGGGGGGCGAACCCCGCGCGCGGGGCGCGGGGCGGGCCGGCGAGTTGGCTGCATCGGCCGGGTGATGGCGCCGCCCTCAGAACCCGACCTCAGCTTTTTTTTCTCCCCCTATTGGCGGTTTCGATTGGGGGCAGGCTTTCACTTTTTGACCACTCCAAGATTGACTCAAACCCAGGTGTTCTCCTTCTGGGGGGAATGAACCACCCTGGGCTTGAGTCTACCCTGCGGTGGGCAAAAAGGTGGAACCGTTTGGGGACATGAAGCCCTGGCTTTTCTCAGGGTAAATAGGACACCGCCCTGAAAAAAAGGTATTCGTTGTATTATGAATTCAAAACTTAAAACAAAGTATACATGATTTATCTGCAAATTTGATTGATTATCATAGTGAACCACCAAACCACCCATCCAACGCGCTGATTGGATTGTCTCCCCCGCGGTTTCGCCCTGGAGCCCGAACCGGAGCATGGCAGCTCCCTTGGTAAATCTGAAGTTTGGTGGCGGTTCAATCTCTTGGGAAGTCATGTGTTTGGGGGGTTCCTTGTGTGTGTGTGTGTGTGGCCCCCCTGTTTCTAAGGGGTTTCTGCTGTCCTTTTGAGTTTGGAGTCGGACGCCACCTTCATTCATGTCCTGGCATGCAGTAGCCAGATTGGCCGTTGGCGTCCCTGAAGAGGAAGGCCAATCTAGGCGAACAATGTTCAGGCATGTGTGAAGCCGAAACTCCATTGCCCTGCCGGAGACCTTCAAACAGCCTGTGCCTGCATGGTGGTGCGCATTGTCAGTTTTGCCGTCTCATATCAAGTGTGTTTAGGCACTGCGTCCGGGCTTCGGTCAGTGTCTTGATCCCTGTTGTGGGCATCTGTTCCGACTCATGCACTGACATTTTCTACAGACTGTTACCGGACCTTGTCGCTCGTGACGCTTGACTGTTCCAGCTGATCTTCTCAATACAGGCTTGGACTTCTCCCAGACCTTCCGGCACCCCAGACTGTTTCCGTGAACCTTTTCTGTCAGACCAACTGTTTGACAACCAATCCGACTACCCGACACATCAGGTGAAAAATCACGACGCCGTCAGCTTACTCTTGGCTCGCAATTGTTGGCATAGATGCCTCGCCCCCACGCAGGTCCGATGTCGAACTCGGCAGGCCCCATGGCCAAGGCATCCAGGAACACTGCCGGCCCTACGCCGCCCAGGTCTCCAGTGCACCAGTCAGCATCACCGAGCAGGAGTACGCTTGTGACACCAGCTTCTAGCATATCTGGCGCAGTGTCCAACGCCTCAAGGGCTGCCAAAGCTGCGGTTCCGGCTCCTGCTCCCGGCGACACCTCGACATCGATCCCTACCTTGCAGGTCTGGCCTGCATCTGTAGCTGGCCCACTGCCGCAAATCCTGGTGAAAGCACGCCCGGCCACACCGATGACACCAATGACTCCGCTGACGCCAACCACCCCGACAGTTTCAACTACAGCATGCCCACCTATGACCACAGCACCGACCCCTATCGCACCGATCCCTACGGCAACCCCATCAGGTCAGATGCTTCCACCGCCCAACCCACCATCCAGGTCACGCCACACGACGGAGGGAGACCGGTCACGTTCCCACAACGCTTCCCCCTACTCCAAGTCAGTGCCCCCACAGCGGCGAGGTCGAGCTCGCTCCCGGACGCCACCTCCGATCTCCCGAAGGGACTCAACATCGGACAACTCTATCACGGCAGCATCGAACATTGCCGCGTCGGCGCCCACAGCAGCCAAGTCCTCATCCCGGGCGCCTACGGCAACTAAAGCTTCATCCCGACGACCGAGAAGCAATCGATCTCCACTTCCGCGTAGCAGAAGCAGTGCTCCATCGGCTCCAGCCTCCAAGGCCACAGGAGCTCACCCTGATGTGGGGTCGTCCTCGAGGAGCATGCAACTACGCCTCAATCCGCAGGCACATCCACCGCTGGTCTTGCTTCCCAACCCGGAGTCTGATCCCTGGAGGAACGAACTTCAGGTGCTGGCCGCACCATATCTTCGTGATGGGATCCCAGTCAATCAGGAGCAGATGAGCTATGTGGCCGCTACCTTGAATGCAGCAGGCATACCGTCTCAGCACTCCACCCTGAACTATGCGAAGGTCAACCCGGATCATCATTTTTATAAGATCACCCCGCACTGGTTCATGCTGACCGTCCCTTACCTTGGGGCCACAGTTCGGCTCAAAGAACCGACGAAGACGCGACCCATGCTGCTCTGGACTCACGCTTCCAGTGTTGGAGGTACTCGCGGCATCCTGCGGAGCCGACAGATCCATCCTTCCCGGCAGCACTCCTCGGAGTGCCCAGCCTTTTATGCCCAGGGCTGGAAGATCACTGGACACGCCGACTACGACGCTGAAGAAATCGCTCGCACGATGAGCCAGAACTGGAGCATGTCTTTTAACATGGCCCAATTGCTGTTGTTCGGACGCGCTGTTGGCACCTGTCAGCCGATTCGATCGGGAGGAGAGCAAGCTTGCATTGAGGCCCTGGACTCCAGTGAACGTCCTGATGTCATCCACTATGTGTCGGGCAAGTGTTGGATGGTGATCCCGGAGGCAAGTCAGATCGTTGGACTCGCATGGCCTACCGATGCAAAGCCACCCACTGGTGTCCTCCGCTCGTGAACCTGCACCAGGAGCTGTTGTAGCCAATGTCAATTAATGATGTTTCATTGCGAATAAGAGCATACTTCACCACACTGCCGTCTTCGACTACCGACGATATTTTGCGACAAAAAGTGCACGCCAGAGCCTCATTCGAGTATGTGCTGACCTTACTGCAGGTTTTTCCTTTTTGAAGCTTTGTGTAACTAATGCTGTTTCCCGGTCTCTTGCTGCCCCGGGCCCGGTCGAAATTCGGGTGTCGTTTTGGCAATGGTTGTTGTCTCGGCAATGTGTGGCGTACCCCCAGCGTTTAACCCATTAGCAGTGTTGCCGGCAACCTCCCATCTCGTGATGGCTTCTCAGTGGAACTATTCATGGCCGGCGGCATCGGCACCCTCTTCCTCTTCGCATCCGGGATCCTCGTATCTTCCATCATGGTCAGTTCCGCAGTCCCAGCAGGAGGTATATCTCAGCTCCAATCGGATGGAACCCTTGCAACATCAACTTCGAGAAGAAACAACGTCCCGCGTCAATCCCCCTCGGCCCCCACAGATGGCTCACCAGTTCCCTCCTCAACCTCCCGGTCAGTTTTACAACTATCACGGTGGTGGAACAAACCACATGCAGACAGGTCCCCGTCCTCCACCACCAGCACCGCCAGCTCAACCTCCAGTTCGGGCACCTCTAGGCCAGGGTGATGCAACGCAGTACACTCAGCCTCGATACTCGCAGCTACTCCCTAGCACCTTCCAATCTGACGACATCTTCCTCGACAAGACGGAGGTCCGTGGTCTGCAGCTGTACCGTCACGTTCAGCCTACTCAGTGGTCCAGAAGAGTCGGGCTCGCAGGAACAGCTATCCTGGATCTTCCACTCACGCGACTTCTTCGAGGAGGAGCAGAAGATCACGCATTACGAGCACTGTCAAATGGCCGCTACAGCACACCAGTCATGGCTCAGACGATGGCCGAGGCAGTCTTATTGACATCCATTCTCAAAGCATTGAGAGGCAGGGAGGTCGACATTGACAGGACAGCTCGCTCTCTCCACGCGGACAATGCGCCGGATAAGCGCAATGAGGCCATGCAGTTTATGGAGCCACTTGCAATAAAAATCGTGGATCTCATGGAGTCCCTGCAGCCCGCCAAGCAGGAGAACCTCACCCGCCACAAAATTGCCGAATTGGAACAACAGTTGGAGCGCTACAAGAGCAAGGGCATCACTCTTACACCGGATAAGAAGCTGCCATCCTCGTCCCCTTCCAATGCCGCGTCCTGGACCCCCACGCCCGGCCGCTCTGACCAGTCCCTCTACATCAACGCGGCCAACTCAGATCAGCCAGGACCTCCCCTACCAGTTCCATCTCCAGAGGCTGATCCAGCCCCTAAGCGACGACCAGCAAAGAGAAAGACCCCGGCGGCTGCCCCGGATGTCACTCTAGACTCAGAACTTCTACGTCAAGGAAACCCCAAAGGTCAACAGGTGCC